GCTGAAATCTAACCCATCATTTCCATTCCAGTTCAAACATTTTTGTGAAACTTACCCTGGCCCTCCATAAAATGTCTCTTCTTCAAGTGACTGACTTACCTTGTGGATTTCTTATGGCACCTAATACATTTCTTCTCTTCTGTTCCTTCTAACAGTCTTAGCATTTCTACTACATCTACAGGCTCCTTAAAAGCCAGAACCATAATTCTCTATCTCCCAATTTTATTTAATAAATTGATCCCTTATATTCTCCTAGAGTCATGGACTCTAGGAGAATGTTTCAAATCTTGGAATGACACATGGGACAAGGGGCAGGAGCTTGCAGGCCTTTATGATGGGACATATACAAAGGGATTAACACCGTAAAAGAAAAAGTTAATGATCTGGGATCAAAAACAGGTCTGAGAAATTTTGCCTTCTTCATTACTTGGTTAAAAAAATTACCTTTAGGTGGCCAATAAAAGCCCACCATGATTATGTTACTCAATAAATTGATCCCTTATGTTCTCCTAGAGTCATAAGAGATCTAGGAGAACATAAGGGATCAATTTATTGAATACATGACTCTTTTAATTAACATGAATCTCAATGACTTTTTTTTTTCTTGCTCTGAAGGTAGTGCAAAATGTGTAGGTTATATGCTATAGTTTATCTCAGAGAGTGAGAACGAGGTATACCTCTTAAACTACAAACAAACCAAAATGGCTTCACGAGATCCCTCCTTCTCTTTCAGGCCTTGCTCTATTACTGTGAAGCACTAACAAAGACAAACCTCCAGCTCCAGAAAGCAGCTTGCCTGGCCCTGAAAATCCTTGAGGTAAAGCCCAGCCTTGGAACTCCCCTGGCAGCTCAGCTTGGAGCCAGGCTAAGCCGAGTATATATAACAGCTTTTCTTTCATGTTTGAAAGTACTTTTTTAGCAGTGTTTCTTGACTCCTTTGCACTGTATGTTAGTTTTAGTATTTTTCTCCCTTAAACAGTAATTACATGTGACTTTGTTTTGTTAGTCAGTAAGTGGCAGAAAGCAATCATGTTTTGCACTAGCCCAAGGGAACCGGTTTGCCTTTAGGTCAGTATTAGAAAAGTATGTCATATTGGCTGGCACGGTGACTCATGCCTGTAATCCCAGCATTTTGGGAGGCCAAGGCCAGTGGATCACCTGAGGTCAGGAGTTTGAGACCAACCTGGCCAACATGGTGAAATCCTGTCTCTACAAAAATTAGCCAGGCATGGTGGCAGGTGCCTGTAATCCCAGCTACTCAGGAGGCTGAGGTGGGAGAATTGCTTGAACCCAGGAGGCAGAGGTTGCAGTGAGCCAAGATTGTGCCATTGCACTCCAGCCTGGGTGGCAGAGCCAGACTCTGTCTCAAAAAAAAAATAGAGAAAAAAGGAAAGTATATCTTAAAAGGGAGATGAGATGTATGGTGATTTCACTCACTTTTATTGTGAACAACAAAAAGCAGGGACAAATAAGATTTGAAAAGAAGTACTAAAATTCAGTATGCCACTGAATTCCCAGATCCTTCCCCACAAGCTCTCTTTATTAAGCAGAGAACCAGTTTTGATTGTCATAAGGTGTCGTGAGCAGGGAGAGAGCTAGAATGTAAACAAGTACGAAAAGACTGAGAACTCCTGACATGGAAGTTTCCCTTTCAGTAGGCAAGATGTAATGTTTGACCTACCTTCATCACAAAAAAATAAGACAAATCAGTCTTGAGAAAAGAATGAGAGAAAGCCACACCTTAGAACTTGCCAAAATCTTGGAAAAGAGGCAGGGACCTGCAGGCCTGATAAAGAAAGGGATTAATACCTCAAAAGAAAAAGTTAACGGCCT